ACACACAAAAGAAATGAAGGGATTATATATCACTATCGAACACTTTACAATCTAGAAAATCGAGAGAATATTCGTCGCTTAGAGGGATAAACATAGAATAAGATTTCTTCTCATGAATTTGTTTATCAATCACTTATATTTGCATAAGCAATGTGTTAATTGATTGAATGTATTTTTTTTTATATTAAATTAATTAGAAATTTGTTAGATTCTATTTAACAAATGTATTCAAAAAAAAAAGAATGACAATGGAGATTCTAAAATACATCAAAAGAGAATATCATGCTGAGTTTTGATATAATTATCAAAGAGTAAAGTGTGACCGCATAACATCAGAATGATGATTTTCTCACTCTTTCTTTTCTTTTTTCTTGCTATATTCTATCCTATAATTAAATTCATTAGAACTGATATTTTAATTCTATGATCAATGTTCTTCCTATAGAGTAACTGAATATAAAAATGAACGGTAGGAATAAAAAAAAAGAAAAGAGTTGATTAGAAATTTGAAACTTGTCGAACATGTGTCTGATTTTTAATTGTTAAATTGACGGATTCGTGTGAGTAACGCGTGAATAGCAAAATTGATAATAAATCAAACAGATAGACAGACAAGTGGTCGATAATCGTTTCGAACGTATGTCCAGAACACATATTTTATTTGACCTTTTCATTCTCAAAAAATAAAAATAAAAAAAAAAAACAAAAATATTCTTTTTATAGATGAGACAATAAATTTGAAAATTATATTCTAACAACGACGAAAAATATTAAACACAACAGGTGGGAATTTTTTTTTCTTTTTGCTTTTCTTAATTCTCTCTTTCCGATTCGTTCGTTCGTTTAAATGAAAAATAAAGAGAGAATGATGCGTTTTTTTTCTCTCTCTCTCTCTCTCTCTCTCTTTTTTTTGTCGCTTACACACCTGATTAAAAGGCATCACCTTTCTCTTTTCAAGCGTGAGTGTTTGCTTGCTAGCTTTACCTTATAGAAGGAATAGAGGTAAGATTTCACTCGTGTACAAGTAATTAGATCCTAAACAGATAGTGTTTTTCTCTCTCTTTTTTCTTTTTTTTTAAATATAAAACATAGTCACGTCTAGAATGAAATATGATGTTAGAAGCTTTAAGTTTTTTTTTCATATTATGATTATAGAAAATCATATACGCATGTGTGTATAATGTTTAAAATTACATTAAAAAAGGTAGGAATTCTTATATTATAATTATCATGATTATCCAAAAATGGATATATAGAGTATATTGATTTATTTAAAAGAAAAAAATCTTAACACTTTTGAGAATTTGTTATTATTTATCTAATCTTCAATTTCTATTTCTTGTAAGGTAGAACGATGCAGAGAAAACTTTTTTCGTACTCTAACTGGAAAAAATTTTTCATACTCTTTACTCTACGAAATTTTTATTGCACTTCCTTTTAATACTGTCATAGTTGGAAGATTCAAAAAGTGATTTAAAAAGAAAAATTCTATTTCTTATTTTTCTTTCTAGTCAATCATTAATGGCGAGTTATTCATTTTCATCGCCGGGCTATGTCAATATTCCTCCCTATTACAATACAACACCTAATAGTTGTTCAGGTTTGAATTTTCAATATTCATTACCTGAAAGTAAGACTACTCTTCATAGTTTTGTTTCTTCAATAAGAAACTTCTAATTAGGTTATACAACAAATGGTACTTCATCAGTTAGTACTTCATCTGGTACATTACCATATAGTACACAACCGGTATGATTTAAGACAACACAAAAAAAAAAATTTGTTTTTTTTTATATTGATTATTGTGTTTTTAGGCTTTTGATCCAACTTATTATCATCAATTTCCACCATCTTTTAGTTATCCATATTATCCATCATCGGCATATCCTTCACCATATACATCAAATCAATTAACAACGGCATTAAAACCTTCAGAAGAATATCAAAATGAATCAATTCCATTATCAATTCATGGTAGAGAGAAATTTTAATCGATAAAAAAAAAAAAAAGAAAGAAATTATTCTTATCTAGATCATTCAAATCCAAGTACATCAAATTCACCATCACCATCAATAAAAATTGATGGAAAAATTTGTTCAACATCAAAATCTAAAACAAATCGAAATCGAAATAAAATTCAACAATTATCACCTGATTTAGATAATAATATTGAACGAATATTTATATGGGATTTAGATGAAACAATTATTATATTACATTCATTATTAACTGGAAGTTATGCTCAACATTATCAAAAAGTAAAAACAAAAAAAAAAAGAAAAAGAATTTTTTTTTTCTTTTTAATTTAATTTAATTTTTTAAGGATCCTCAAGCAGCAATGAATCTTGGTTTACGTATGGAAGAAATAATATTTAATTTAGCTGATACAAATTTATTTTTTAATGATCTTGAAGAATGTGATCAAGTACATATTGATGATACATCATCAGATGATAATGGACAAGATTTAAGGTATTCTTATTATTAAAATAATTATTTGAATAGGTTTATTCTCTATGTTTTTTTTAAAAAAATCTTTTTAAGTAATTATAATTTTTCAACTGATGGTTTCAATTCATCATCATCATCATCAAATATGAATAATACAGTTCGTGGTGGAGTAGATTGGATGAGAAAATTAGCATTTCGTTATCGACGTATAAAAGATATTTATAATAATTATCGAATGGATATACAACGTAAGAAGAAAAACAAATCCAATTTTTTTTTTTTTTTTAAATATCAATTAATTATTTAGATTTACTTGGTCAACAAAAATATGAAGAATTACGTCAATTACGTTTAGATATTGAAACATTTACTGGATCATGGCTTACATTAGCATCAAAAGCATTGAATATTATTAAACAAAGGTAATTATTAACAGAATATATTCTATTGAATATCAATGTTTAGTTCAAATATATTATAAACTATTGAAAATTATAGGTATCATGTTCATAGTTTTGTTAAAATTAATAATAGAAAAATTTCGAGAGTAATTATTTCATAATTTAGCATGAGAAAACTCTTTATCAAACATTTTGATAGCAAATTTTTTCATCATATAAAACTTGTTAACTATATATCAATTTAACTTTTTGTTTTCTTGTTGATATAATATTGAGTTGACAAGGAAAGTATTCCAATTGATTGTGATGAACAAAGTTTAAAATTTGGATCCGAATCCAAATTTTAAACTTTTTTTTGAGGTTCGGGTCCAAATCTGAGGTTTTTCTATCAATACCTGACACCCTTCGTGTATGTGAACAAGTGAAGAATAAAGGTTTTAGCTATTTATTCGCTACTCTCAGAAAAAACTTAACGTACAGGTGTATCTTGTTGCTGAATTTCTTATCCGGAGAGCAGTGGGACCACAAAAACGTGTAACCGGACCCGACAAAAAAAAAATAAAACTTTGAATCCGGCCCGGTCTGGAAGGACCCGCAGCCACCTGAGCTGATACCCGCTGTTTGAGCGTACAAGGACGACATCTTGGTAAGACTAACAAAAGTCTAAAAGGATTCATTGCTACGAGTATTTGCAGCCAAATTAGGATTGTTTTACTGAAACGTCAAAAGAAAAAAGAAGCCGAAGTTTTACATTGAAATTCTATTTTTGACTTTTCAGTATGTATGTACAACTGATTTGAAAATTCAGTAAAATGATCCTTATTCGACGTCAAAAGCTCATGGGAACGAACCCTATTAGACTTTTTCTAGTCTCACCAAAACCTTCTTTTAACTAAATTGAATTATAATATTGAAAAATTGTACTAGTAATTAGCAGTTTGTTTAATGTACTAAAATAAAAACAAAATGGTAGAATATTCTTAAGTCAGATATGAAGAAAAGACAACTTGATGGGGATATGAGTGAGAAGGAATAAGAGTCTTCTTATCATCCTTACTCTTATGAGTAGGTATATACCAAATATAAACTGTCGTTTGGTGTTTGGATTCGGAAACTATCTGTCCAGTTCAGATAGTTATCAAGCATTCGGATAATTATCCAAGCGTTTCATGAGGTATACATGCAGACCTTTGTTTTTCGGATTAGTTATTCCACTATGTGTAGATCTACTATAGCCAAGTCTGAAATTCTTCCATTAAGCTTATTTATACTTGTTTTTATTAATCAACTGAGGCGAGAGACATGGGTTTCTTTTTTATAAAGTTAGAAATTAGAATTGTCTTTGTATTTGTTTCGACGAAAAATTTTTCAAAAAAAAAACTTCAGTATTACAAAGTTTTATATAATAAAAATTAATTAAATCTTGAATGTATTTATATTTTAGAAAAAATTGTATTAATGTACTTGTAACAACATGTCCATTAGTTCAAGGATTATCAAAAGTTCTTTTACATGGTCTTGGTAGTGTATTTGATGTAGAAAATATTTATAGTGCAACAAAAATTGGTAGAGATAATTGTTTTGAACGTATACATACAAGATTTGGAAGAAAACCAACATATGTTGTTATTGGTGATGGACGTGATGAAGAATTAGCAGCTAAACAAGTAAGTTCTTTAAAAAGAAAAATTCTTTTTTTTCTTGGATGCTAATGTGGAATTTTTTGTTTTATTTTAGCTTAACTGGCCATTTTGGCGTATAAATGAACATCAGAATCTAACGGCTTTAGTTCATGCACTTGAATGGCAATTTCTTTAAAAACTTATCTTTTCTTTTCTTTTTTGTTTATTATTGTCTTGTCTATGGTTTTTTTCTTTGTAATTATCTTTACACACAGTGATCTTATTGATAATGTGCGTTTTAATCTCATGCGCACAGATGTCTATGATCTGTTTAATATTTATAATTATGAATAATGAAACGAAAAAAAAAACGAGACATTTATGTATAAATAAGATTTTCCTTTTTTTTCTTTCTTTCGAAAGAATATTAAGACAACTTTTGTTTAGATACTTTTAAGTTAGAGTAATTTTCTAGAGATTCTAAAAAAAAGATTTGTATCGTTTACAATTGATTTTGAACTTCTCATTTGGTTATGGGAGCAGTTTTTCATTTGTACTCTGTCACATTGCTAACATTAGGTTTTTTATACTGATGACTCCTCTGAACAAAGGTCTCTAGATAGGGATTATTCATTACATTGAGTTGAATACTGAAAATAAACATCAGTATTCGATTAAACATGATAGATAACTCCTGTCTCAATTTCTTGTGAAGTCTTTCAATGTCAAATTGCTAAAATCGGGTGCATGAAGAAAATCCTTGTAACTCTTGAACGACAGCAGCTACGAACTTGCAGTTTGCACAGATCGAAAAAGAATACTTTTCCCTACTGATTAATCGAAAATGACTTGAAAGTCTTGTTTTCAAAATTTTCGCCAACAATCCATCTGATTGGTCGATTGCTGATCAATTAGACTTCGACTCATTTTGATGACTCCGAGTATTTCATAATGAGTAGTGAAAATTCCAAGTTTCTATGTTGTTCTTATCAAAAGTTATTAAAACGACATCCGTGTTCATTATATTTTTGCACCGATAGTAGAAGTAAAAAATATAAATTTAAACACAAACTAAAGCTCACTACAATAGTATTGATGTTGTTCTTCTTGTGAAATTAATCATAGTAGACAGCCTGTCTACAGGTAACGCACTCACCCAATTTTTGATCTTCTGATTGTTATAATTCGATAACTAAAGGTGACAAAGAGCTTAAACTTACACTGCATCAAGATATATGAAAAGTTCTAGTTTCACTAAAATTTTCATTTCATTTGGTTGAACTGCACCAATTCTAGAAGGATCGAAAGTCATGGTAACGCACTCATTTAAAAGGATTTCTTCCAGCAGGACCATCTAAAAAAGGTCACATTCCTAAAAATTTTCTCGCTCCGAACAAAATGCTTTTGTCTATGTTTGAAGCTAAGACAATAGACCTGACGATGGTGAAATGTGTTTTTTGGAAGCTTGTTCCTAAAAAGGGTTATCACCAAAACATTACGGTAATGCACTCATCAATTTTTTTTGAACTTCTTAAAAAAGCACATTTTTTTTACAGTCTTGACAACAGTGGAAGGTAATCCATTGATGTCAACCTGTAGCTCAATCTTCGATAATATCACTCTTATTTCCATTTTTGTAAATGATAAAGTAGCGTTCGAAATATAATAATAGACAATAAGACCTTTTTTTCATCAATTTTGCACAAAAAAATACTTGATTTTGGCTGGTGACCATTATTTCTTCTTGTCATTACTTAAAAACAAATGACACCTATCCAATAGAGAATATACGAAAATCTATAAGAAATTTTTGAATGAATAAATTCGGTCGTCTTATGTTCGAGAAATCTTCTGCTCAACTATGACCAAACATAGTTCTTTTTAACTAACAGGCTGTATAGTATCGATCTAGACTGGAAACATCTCTTTCCATTAGTAACACTCATAATATCTATTTCATATTTTAATCCAGCAAATATATTGCGCTATTGTAAATTTATTATATTTATCTTACTTTGAAACATATTGCGATAGTTTAAATCTTATAGGTGAAAATTGTTTGCTTTTAGAATCTATATATATGACATAATTGTATAATTAAATTATCTGAATTAGTCTATTATGCATCAACAATAATAAAAAATATCGAACATTTTGTCGTTTTAATCTACTTTCTTTAATAACACATCTATCATGCTCGCTAAAGATAGTTTACATTGTTAATGTATTGTTTTTCGAATTCAATTTGATGTATTCTTTCCACCTTTTCGAAGTACTGTCTCATACATGTATGGGTCGTTAGGTACAAAAAACAAAATTCAAATGCGAAGTTAGAAAAAAAAAACGAAGCCAACTGGCAACATTCTTTACTAATGAAAAGAACAAATTCAATCATCTCGAGTATTCGTAGAAAAAGAAATATCTAGATCTTTGACCTAGAAACAAATGTTGTGTTTACCTTGAGAAATGTTTTCATATTGATTAATTAATTAATCAATCAATCATCTGATTCAAAGTTTTTGTTTATTTGATTCATATTCAAAGAAAAAGAAAAATAGTTTCTTTTCGTTTTTACATTCTTTTTAAATATTCATTTAAATGCATTAGAAAAATATTGAATACTTCTAAAAAGAAGAAAGTAAAACAATTTAATCTTTGTTTTTTTTTTCAATAATTGTTCATCGTTTCTGACAATACAATGAAAAATGGTGACATATTTACATATATAAGAAAAAAACATGACATTTTATTATCAAGTCACGAACAGAAGAAAAAATGTCTTGATAGAGCATTGAGTATGTGTCACATATGAAATAGGTCGAAAGAATGATATGAGTATGTGTAGTTTTTATCATGTAAAAGAAATCTTCATTAATATTATTTAACAGTTCAAAGTTTGTTTTCATCATCGATATAAAAATATAACACATTTATAATTATTTTTCAACCTGCATTTTTATTTTGAAGGATAACTCATGTCATACAAAAAATTATTATAGTTTAAAAAAAAGTCATAGAAATTATTGCTATCAACATTCTGAGATGCTTACGACTTCTTTTAAATCATTTATTTTACAATCATCATGTAGATAATACTTTTATTTTTTCTTTAAAAAACTAAATTTATATAAATGATACAATAGATTCTAAATTATTGAATATTATTTTTAATCAAATTAATGAAGATTTCTTTTATGGGATAAAAAATCATAGATGTCTAATATCATTTTTTTTTTCAGCTATCCTAGAATCAGGAATATCCTATTAATCGAATGTATATATTTAATTATTACATTTTTTGCTTCTATCAACATATAAGAGAAAAATATTTTTGTTCATATTATTTAATTTATTTTAATATGTTCATAATAAGTTACAATGAAATAAATCATGATATATATACAATTCTCTGACAACTAAATTACAAACGAACAAACAAAAAAAAAAGCAAAGTGAAAATAAATTTGAATGTGCTGAAAATTGAAACGAAAAACTAAAACATTAATTCAAATTTTTTTGTTCTTTTGTTCATCACGATATATCTCAATCATATTAAAAATCAAATAGAATATGAATGGAAAAGAAAAGAACATTTTTGATCAATAATAAAATGCGAGAAAAAAATGATTATACATTGGATAATTAAGAAAAATTTACTCATCACCGTCAATAAGATAAACCATATATAATTCATCGGCTTGTTTATCAATAGTTTGCATTAATGTATTGTCAGGCGATAATACATGAAAACCAAGAAACATAAATGTTTTTACTACAATTGCTCGATCAGAACGTGCTTTATTAAAATATATAATAACCTTTTTACAATGTAATGTATCATCAGCGAATTCAAGAAGGCTAACAAATCTATAAATTTTATGTTACAATAATAAATGTGAATAAGAATTTAAAAACAAAATCAAGATTTTTATTACTTTTCTTTTGATCCTGCACATAATTCTTTCGGAAGTTGTACATAAAGTATATTCATATGTAATGTAATTGACCAAGATAAATTATGCTCACGCAAAAATTGATGTATTATATCATGTTTTATTTGCAAACCCTCATCATCATTTGTCTAAATTAATGAAAAAAACAACAAATTTTTTTTTTATGAATGTTAATATAAAAAATTTCGAAAGCCAACCTTAGCAAATTCTATAGATTTAATGATGGATCCATTGGGGCGCGAGGCTAATACTCGTCGTCCAACGCTGCCGCCCTCAGCGCATGTACTCGATGGTAAAACTGCAGCAGCTGAAAAAAAAAACAAAATAACCGTTGTAAAAGTAATCCAATCAGATCTTTTGTGATACAAACCGTTGGCAACATCAGGAATACCACGTTATATCGGCCGCGTTGCGGTAACAAAAATTATTGATACTATTTAAAACAAAACAAAAAAATGAAAATATATAGAAAATATTTTATAAATAAACACCTACGTTTGATTAGTTGATTGAACCTTAGTACACGACATTATGATAAATTTTTTTTCTTGAAGATACTAAAAATAATAAGAAAATATTTTTTTCTAATTTCGATTATTCTAGAAAACATATTTTATTTTTCTTTTTTGAGATATGCAAAATAATAGATGCACAATCGAATGTTTACCCACTAAGGCTAATTTGTCTATGTGTGCGTGTGCAGCGCTTTTTTATACTATCTAAAAATAAACGAAGAGAAAGCAACGGGTAGGAAGCAGAGAAAAAAAAACAAGAGAATAATACACACATCGTCTCTCTCTTTTCTTTTCTTTTTTTTTCTCCTGCGTAATGACGCTTGCTCATTTCTTTGCACAAGGACTGATGAAAGCCTTTCATTTTCTTTTCCTATATTTGTATCATTCTGGATTATAAGTTAAAAAATGATCATGTGATGTTATTTCTATAAATACAACATTAAAGCGCAAAAACTCGTTAACTATCATATGATAGATGACAAATTTATATCCAATAAAAAAAAAAGCAAAAAACAAACAGATATATTTTTTTTGTATCTGTAAGTGAATAGATAAATCATACACATAGAAACAAAAGAAAGAATGCGAGCAAAAGACTATATATATACACATAACAAAAAACAAAAAACAAAAAAAAAAAAAAGAAAAGACCTGTCAACATTTCTATAATGTTTGTGTTTTTTTTTCAAATATAACCATGTGGAATTTATCGATGCCACTGGACGGCATTATGAAGAGAGAAAAAAAAAAAGAAAACGAGAATATATAATTAATGCACCGGATTGATTCGTAAAAAGATATTTCAAAGAAAAAGAAAAAACTAAGAAGAATTATCTCCATTTGAAGTCGAAGAGAGACATACGCCTGTTTCAACACTTAATGCGAGTGCTTCGAGCCATGGATGAGATACACAAAAAGCAGGTCTATTATGATAAAATAAAACAAAACAAAAAAATATATCTAAAATCTTTTCTTTTGTTTTTCGTTTATATTTCTTACCTTGAATCAGGATTAATGTCACAACAAGCAATAGCAATAGCAATAAATTGTTTTGGACAATCTTTACTACAATATTTTTGATTAAATAAATGTACATTTAAACCAAAATCTTGTGTACGTGGTAAATAATCAGGATCAGCTTGTACACGACCAATGATCTAATATAATCCAAAACAAATTCTTTATTTTTTTTTGTTTTTCATTTAAAAAATGTTTCTTTTTTACTTCACAAAGCATGATACCAAATGAAAATATATCTACACGTTCATCATAACATTGACCTTTTAACATTTCAGGTGCCATCTAAAATAAAATTTCAAAAACAACTATAAGTTTTTTTTTTTTAATTACAAAAAAGAAATCTATGTAGAATATCTAGAGAAAGACTTTCCGAACATTTTCATATTAATCACAGCATCCTCACACAGTAATGTGTGTATAAATCACATCAATTAATATAATCAGGATGTTATTAAAGTAAATATATACCAGACTTTCTCTATCTAACAGCATATGCATTATCACGTTCTACTGCATACTATGATATGTCGATAGATGCCGTCATGATAGAATGCAGCACAAGTGATGATATTTATGGACACGTAAACAGTACGCAGTTAGAGCCTACAAGATTCAAAAATTTCTGAATCCGAAGATGTTATAGTCAAGAAGAGTTTTGTTGTTGTTTTCTCCATTTTTTTATAAATAAATTAGAGATTAATCCTTTACGCAGTAGAGCTTGATGCTGCATACATCATTTTGATAGATGAAGTCTTTCTCTGTAGATCTACATATATCCAAAAATCTGTAGTCAAAACTACATAGTTGTCATTTTTTTATATATTCGATTATCTTACCCAATAAGGAGATCCGACAACTGTATATCTAAATAATAATCAATATATATTTAAATAAAAAAAAAAAGAATTAAGAATTTTCTGTTTTTACCGTTGTCGATCTTTTAATATTTGTCGACGAGTTTTAGGTCGAACAACAACAATATTACCATTTGATGTTATTGTTGTACTTGTACTTCGTTGATCTCGTCTAAATGATGATAATGATGATGATGTACCATCATTCATTTGTGTTGTTACATAATCGTCATCTTCATCAAGATTTATTCTTGATAAACCAAAATCTGCAACAACAACTTGTCCATTAGATTTAACTAAACAATTTGAACTATTTAAATCACGATGAATTATATTACATGAATGAAGATATTCCTTTTTTAAATAAATATTAAAAAAAAAACAGTAATAATAATAATAATAAAAAACAATTTCTAATATTTTACCATTCCGGCAGCTATATCTTTTGCATAACGTAAACGTTGTAACCATGTTAATGGTATAGATAAATCATGAATGATATTTTTTAATGTACCACCGGCAATGTAATCTTAAGAATGAAATAATTTTGAAAAGAAAATTCAAGAAAGAAAACATACCAACAAGAAAACACATTTGATTATCTTTATCAAGTAAAAGACCCATAAAATGAAGAACATTTGGATGTTTTAAACGTTTAAGAACTTGTACCTAAAAAAATTATAAAATTTACAGGTTATCAACATTGATAAGTAACGTTTAATACAGAAATATTCCTTTAGGATGCTTCCATACTTGCCGATATACTTCAAGAAACTCTTGAATAATTATTCAAAGCACTACAAAACTTTTAAGCATATAGAAGTGACTTTTTAGACTAGAATAATATCAAAAGGTTTTGAACTTATAGATCTTCTCTTCAAGATTACAATAGTTTTACTAGATTTTGATTACACGATAAATTTAGCAAAAGGCTTTTTTTTTTACTTGAAATTTTATTCATAAGTATCAAGTTTTTCGGAACTATCATAAAAGGTTTCAATCAAAATGATTGCTTCCTTCTTGAAATATTCAACGTTCAAAATCTTCCAATTTGTTTGATTTTTGAATAACTCAAGAAAAGGAAGTTATTCTTTTCAGTATTTTAATGAGTGTATAAGTCAAAACGTTCTTCTGAATATCAGAATAAAACATTGATTGAAACATTTAGAGAATATTCTTAGATTTATAAGACCTACTAACAGAAAAATACTTCAAATCAAAATAGATAAGATCTACAAGCACGTATTTTTTTTTAATGTTCTCCAAAGCAGTGTATCACTTTGTGCAATTCTCTCATGAATAGCAAATAAATAATATATATTTCATAATTATTTCTAAACAAAGCGATATTGCATTTATTTCAATTGACAATAAGTTATAGCTCGATATGGACAAGAGTCTCCGGACAAATGATTGATCCTGCTGATTACTAACTGTTACAAAGTTGATAGTATAATTAATCATTTTTTTTTTTTGGTAAACAACAAAATTGTCGAATACACAAACATGCAGGATAGATTAAGTATTAGTAAGTAATGAATCATTAAAAAGGATGATTTTAGAGGTCATGCAAGATGTCCTGATCATAACTTACTTCTTTAACAAAAATTTTCTGTGCTTCTTTATCAAATGTTTTTGTTTCTTTCATAACCATTATCTGACCAGTTTTTCTAAAAGTAACCTTAACAAAACAAAACAAAAAAAGAAACAAAAAATTATTTAAATAAATTTTTGAAATTTACTGTTCGTGCAATTCCATAAAAACCTTGTCCAATAATAGGACCAAAATCTAATTCATTTGCACGAAATACTTCATGTCGATGAAGATCATGTACAGATGATGAACGTGTAAGTGTTCCAGCTTGACGTTGTAATGATAATAATTGATGATTTGGACTAAAATTTAATTATAGAATTAAAAAAAAAACAAAATATTCTTTTTATTTTTAATTTACCTGCAAATACTATTAATTGGAACTGATTGAGAACGCATTCGAGTATAAAGAGATATTTGATTTTGATCACAATTATTATTTCGTCTTTTTGTATTTGTTGATGATTCTTCATAAACGGAATCACATTTAATAGCTGGTGATATACGTGTTTGAATATGACGAAGAAAACGTGTTGCATCTGTTGCACTACGGCTTCGAGTTAATGTACGTTTTGGATCAGCAATAAAACGTTGAATAAAATGAACAAGCCACCAACGAGTTGGCTTTAAAGAAAAACAAATTAAGATAAATGCAAAAAAAATTAATTAAACCTACATCATTCCCTCGATTATGATTATTTGAACGAGATTTACGATTGTCACCATTCGTTATTTTACTAGAGAAAAATAAAAACAAAGTAAAGGTATATGATTCTTCATATGAAGTTGAATAATAGTAATAATATTGATTTAGTCAGTCGTGATAGAAAGAATTGAGTAATTGAAAACGACTTGAACTTCTTTTTTCTTTTTTCTATTTTGCAATATGATCTAATTTTATTATCTATATAAATTTTTTTCTTTTTTTATTTATAAGGATATGAACATTCTCATTACATATGTCTAAATTTTCATAATTCAATTTCAATCAAACATAGAAAAAATAGGATTTAAAAATTTCAATAGTAAAGAATAATTGTTGAATACTTACGAACAAATTTCAGAATTTCCACCTCCTCCATAATCATCATCTGTACGATTTTCATTCGTACTTAAATGATTATTTTGTTTTATACTTGGTTTATTCATAGACATATGAAAACGATTTTTTAAATATTTTTGTGTACGATGATTATTAGACAATAATGAAGTTGATGAACAAGGTTCTACAATCATCTATATAATTATATACAAAAAAAAAAAAAAGAAAAGTCTTTTATAATCTTCATCATAAAAAAATTCTCAGACATTTACTTATTGTTTAAATAAAATCGATATAATCGTCGTTTTTGTTTAGTTCACGAGGTCATAAAAAAAATTGAACTTTTGACATACAATATACACAATCTTAAATAAAAGAGAACGATGGCACATTGTATAATACAAAAACGACGAGAATATATCTTTAAGCTCTGAATAAACATTGATGTTAAACGTTAAAATAATATGAAGGCGGGACCCGACACGAGCTTATACACGGTTCAAATTTTGTCAATATTCGATGTCGATCGATTAGATGAAAAATTCCTAATATCATGATAATATAATGCATATATCTTTACTTTTGTTTGTTAAATCTCAACTCTCCTGTCAGATATATACCTATATACAAAAAGAAAAAAGAAAAAGAAGACAGCACACACACGCGCACATCGATCGATAAAGAAAGAAAAGAATAATATAACAGGTCATAGTATAGAAAAGAAAAAAAAGAACAGTTACTATCATCAATTAATGTTAAAATCGATAAAAAAAAAAACGTTTAACACATCGCGAAAAAAGAAAAAGTTGATGCATCTTTTAAACCCTTTCATACTATGCCAAACTAAATGTGGGCGGATAAAAACATCTATGTACGAGACGAGACAAAGAATAGATAAGAAGATGATTACTCATACAAATGAAATTTCTCATGTTTGCGTGATACACGAAAATAAAGATAAAAAATAGTAGAAAAAAAAAAAGAAATGAAAACGAACTCTTATTATCATTGCTTTATTTTTCTTGTATTGAGATTAATGTTAGTTTTATATATGGCTTCAAGTTGTAAAGATTAAATTTTTTCTTTTTCAAGACCATCAATCAAAAAAAGAATAGTAAAATATGTTGATGATCAAATATAAATTATTAGACAGAATGTCGTTGTTAACTTTATTTCCTGTTCTGCATTTACGTATATTTTTATTATTCACACTTTTATATCCTGATTCACTCAACAAGTATAATCAGTATAGTATCCCAAAAAAAAAATATCTGCAAATAATTATTCTCGAAATAGTTCTATTTCATTTACCTTGATATGTAATCGAAAACTATTCTTTCAACTGAATAAATATTCAAGAAAAAAAAAGAAAATATGACTTACATCAATCAAATAAAACAATACTGAGATTTTCAAGGAACCAACATTTACTTACACGTTCACGAGAAATAAAGGACATTTGACATCAACCAATCATTGTGAACAAATTGTCATTGAACTATATTCACCACTCACTCATTTTCTATTGGATGAATTCTTCTTTTCTTTCTTTTTTTGTTCAATTTTTTTGGATGGCGTTAGTTACCGTTATTTAAAACTGTGTTTTATTGATTAATTCGTGATCATCTTTATTTTATATGAAAATATTTCTACATATATTCATATTTAGTTAATCTGTAATATTATCTGACGATAAAATCTGTCGTTGGGTGTTTTTATGTTGATACATCAGTTAAGAAACTTGTTATTTTAAATAATGAATAATTGAATAATGCAATAAGAATTGCAATTGGTATAAAAACTGATGTTTCTTTTTTAGTACTCTTGTTATTGGATCGCCCTGAAATAGTACAAATATGTTTCACAGTGGTAAGTTTAGGAGGATGATAAACTGGCTGTCATTACCTTGTAGCACAATTTTTTTATCATTCCTTAGTAAAAATAAAAAAAGAGAGTTTATATTATTTCGAAATTCAGTTTTTAACCACGACCATCGTTCCTTCCAATAAAACTGCATCCTCTTGTAGATTCCTCGGATTCACTACTGGTATTTCATATTGCTATTTTGCTGTTTAAAAGTATGTCAAACTTATATCTTTTTCTATGGCATCAGTATCTTCTTTGAATGACTTCAAACTATCATCTTTATCTCTTTCATCATGAAATAAATGAATCTATAACAAAGGAAGCTGACAACAACTCTTCAATTATATATGACATTTTCTCTGTAAATTGGAAACAGATTGAAATTTAATTAAAACTGACATAGAGCATGTAAAAGTACAGCTGAATTTCCTCAACAATCTACATATGAGTAGAAAGTCCCTGATCTTTTTTTAAATAAAAAAATTGAAGTATATAAAAGATCAATGTTAGTGAATCGTCATGAGATACAGATGTATCGATTACGTCAAGTATTCAGTCATCTGTCTAATCAGATTAGTAGAGCCCATCGAATCAGACACGGCAGTTGCTACTATAAAAGTAATAGTCGATTATGATCTTATTTCTATACGATCATTATCAAGATGCTTCGAGAAATGTGTAGGCTATGCTAGTTGTTGAAATCAAAAGAGTAAAAAATATGTCTCGTATCTTAGAAACAACTATCAAGTCCGATTAAAAAATTTTATTGAGAATATTGTGAAGACGAATCGATTTCGGGTCTGAAAAACTTGAATGAACCGAATCTGGATCCGACGGGTTCTACATGTCAGTATGAACATGATTATATCAACAGACATGAAGTTTCTTAAGACAAATAGTACAATGAGAAAAAAATCGTAACAATAAATAAAATCATAATTTAAAAGGTCTAGGTATGTGAGTGTTGTTCAATGCATTAGTGAGTTTGAATGAAAGGGGACTAATTTCTGTCATGCACCACTATACCCACACTCTCCAATGCATCATGCATTGTCCAAGTCATGCAAGGCACCTTTCACAGGGTGGGATGTAGATGTGCGTATGGATCTTCTCTTCATCTAGAGATGTGTTGTTAGTAAAGTCTATTTGTTTCGTGATATTCTTTTGACAGTAACACTTAAATGAACGTGTGTCGCATCGAACTTTTGATTTTTCTCTTTCTCGTCAAAAGCTAGCGCAAAATGAGCAGGATTTCTAGTTGATTTCAGTTTTTTCCTGTTTGTTGGTACGTGTTCAACATGAATAGTCGATGTCGCTGATATATTAAGTTGGCAACAAAGTTCTTGGGTTTTTTTTGAAAATGTTCTAAAACATTCGAGAAAGTTCTAGAAGTTTCCATACTAAGGGTATATAAAGGGAGTGTGAATATCTTTCGAATTATAATAAAGTCATCGATATGGACGCTGATCGTGAACTGAAAATGAATCTTTCTCGTAGAGAGATTCGAGTGCTTTTACTTCATGAATTCCGTCTGGACCACAAAGCAACGGAAGCAGCCAACAACATATGCAGCACGATGGGCGAGGGTGTACTCTCTATTCGTACGGCACAACAATGGTTCAATCGCTTTAAGAACGGTAATTTTGAATTCGACGATTTACCCCGCTCCGGTAGACTAATGGAATTGGATGTGGATCTCTTAAAGTAGCTTATCGAACAAGATCCTCGATTGACTTCACGATGTTTAGCAGAGCAGCTTGGGTGCTCTCATACTGCGGTGGAAAAACATCTGAACGAATTAGGCAAAACATGGAGTTTGGATACCCCATGAGTTATCACCACATCAACTTCAATACAGGGTTGATGCTTGCATGGATTTAATGACATCTCACCGCAACTATCAATGGCTCCGCAATCTTATCACCGCTGATGAGAAGTGGGTGTTGTATATTGACTACATGCATAGACGCCAGTGGCTAAGCCCTGGTCAAACAGACGTAGCAACACCTACGACTGATCCACACCCCAAGAAGGTGATGCTGAGCGTTTGGTAGGGTGTCAATGGAATTATTCACTGGGAAGTTCTTCCAAATGGTTGCACCATCACTGCTGATCTCTACTATCAACAATTGGACCGGGTTGCCGAAAAACTCAAGGGAAAGCAGGATCGAATTTACTATTTGCATGATAACGCAAGATCCCATGTTGCAAAGTCGACCTGCGAAAAATTATTGAAGCTCGGATGGATTACCATTCCTCATCCACCTTATTCTCCTGACTTAGCTCCAACAGACTACCATTTGTTTCGTTCTCTTTCTCATCATTTGCGTGAGAAAAAGTTCGACGACGAGAACAACGTGAAAATGGATATCGCCAACTTCTTTGGTCAAAAGTCCCAGAACTTCTACGAACGTGGGATCCTATCTCTGCCAGAGCGTTGGCGACAAGTCATAGATAGTAGTGGTGCATATATAACTGAAAGCTAGTTGTACTGTTGAAGTTAAAAAATAAAAATAAAATTTTTGAAAAAAACGCAAAAACTTTGTTGTCAACCTAATACATACGAAAATTAACATTTATCTTATATTCCTTCATCACTCAACATAGAAAAAAAACCATCTAATGGTTCATTTGACATATGCCACTTTGATTTTCTTCGTTGATGGGCTAAAGAAGTATAGTCTTTTTATTTTATTTTTTCAAAAGATCAACACTTATTCTTTAACACACTGGATTACTTTCGGGTAAGTCTATTTCAGAGTTTTCCCACGGCGTAAATATTTTGAAAAAAGAAATAACGATCAATTCTTATAAGTTGTATGAAATTTTCGGTCATATACACTAAGTATATTTCGAAAACGATCTTCTACAAAAACAACAACCGATTTTTATCGATCAGTTATTTGTTTCATTAATTTTTCTCCACACATTGTCATTTAGAACTATGTCAATTATTTTCTTATTATTATTTAGTGACTGACTTTCATAAGTAAAATTTATAACATTATGTGAACGTTTTTATTTAGACTAATCTACATAAGATGTTGATCAATATTCCTGTAATGATTACTCGTTTTCATCAAGTAACTATTAGAAAGAGTAGTACGTTGTCAGCAAATATATGAAATGATCAGTACGTCATTGATGTAGGTATGGGTGTAAGTGAAGAGAACATTAACGCACACACTCACAGTCAGCCCACAACCACACCCACACCCTCAGATGTTGTGATGTGGATTGTTAGTTAAATAATTATTCATTTTTTTTCTATTATCCAAAATTCCATAGCATTTATTACAACTAAATGTAATCGGTGAGCACAGCACCGAACTCTAATAATATCATTATTTAAAAGTTTACAAGCTATTACAATATTTTCAGCACCATCATATGTAATGCAGATTACTTTTTCATAAATACCTAATTCCATCATTTTTTCCTTCAAATCTTTTGAAATTTCAATTGCTGTGTGTCAATTATTAAAACAAGAAAAAGCAACAATTTTCGAAACAGAATCGAGAGAACTGGTAATCCAATACCTCGTCATACAAAGAAATTCTTCAGATTTCCGATTGAACCAGAAGTCAAATGTGGCACTTAATTGATAAATTCTATTAATACTTCCTTTAATAGTTGATGATGAGTTGTTCAAATTTTTAATTATTTTACAACTTGGTTTCTATGAGGTGGTATATAACCTAAATAAAATGCCTACATAATAAGAAAGACAATAACATAATGCATTAATCGATTAATATTAATATAGAATCAGCGTTCCTTATTTCCTACATATTTAGTGTATGAAATTAGTTGAGATATGTACACAGAGTTAGTTGCCAAAAAAGTGTTCACTTATAGAAGATACGAAAAATCATTCATTGAAGATGACCTCTTATTTCTCTCAATGAAAAGTTAAATCATGCCAATTAAATTGAAATATTTCCCCTTTCAAAAAATCAGAAGCTATAATAATGCACTAGTTGTGAGAAAATCAACCTCTTCTCGAAAAAATCAAGAGGAAACATTTAGTTTTGATGAAAAAACATACCTGGACGAAGTTTATTGAACAAAGCTGTGATTCCACTTTTGTTTAAATCATTAAATGAACGACTATCCTTGATAATTGTATTATAACATAATTGATGTAACTCTTTTTTAAAGCTTCTGGTATCCCGAATTTCGAATGAACCGATGATGATTTTAATATCAATTCAGTTTTCTTGTGTTTGCTAATAACATATTTCATATCGTTGATATAGAATAAGAACGACATGAACATGTGAAATCACATAATTGCCGAGCCGCTTGTTCAACGCTATCTGATTTTTATCGTACAGCCATACTTTAGAAACCAGCTGTTGGATACCAATATTTTTGTTAATGGTGATGTTTCTATTGATATATAAAAATCTAAGTTTGTTTCATCTGAATTATTATTGTTTGATATCGACGGATTTGCATTTAGATTATCAATAGAACTTGACGCTGATGATAGATATGGTTGTCATGTTATTATAGTGAATTTACTATCTTCCTTATTGCTATTATCGAGTATTTTGTTAATTTTTTTATTATTTTTTTTGATAAAGCTTT